TTCGTATCCTGATCTCTTGGTCTGGATCTAATTCTGTGTTGATGTAAGCTCCCAGATATTTATATTTTGTCACTCTCTCTATTTGCTGTCCACCAAGGGTTAGTTGTTCATTATTTATTGGACTCGTCGATACTATCATAAATTTGGTCTTATCTGCAAATCTCATGGTGTTTACGATTTCTTTACCAATTCTTGTTCCCTCTTTTCTTTCCCATAAGGCTTTTCTGAATATGATCTGTGAGTAAACTTTGAAAAGCGTCGGAGACAAGACGCATCCTTGCCTGACCTCTCTCGCAATCGGTATAGTATTTGTTTCTATATCGTTCACCTTTACTACTGCTTTCTGGTTCCAGTATATAGTCTTAATAAACTCAATGTCTTTTTTGTCTAAATTGATGTTTTTTAATTCATCTATTAACTTCATATGCTGCACTCGGTCAAAGGCCTTCCTAAATTCTATGAAGCATACATATGCACTCTTGTTTTATTCCTGACATTTCTGCAAGAGTACAATCAACGCAAATAATAAATCTCTTGTAACCGTGCCTCCTCTGAAGCCAAACTGCGTTTGATCTATCTGCCCCTCAACATTTCTTATAAATTCGGTTTTGCAAAATTTTCCAGAAAATCTTTGAAGAGTGGCAAATTAGGCTTATCAATCTGTAGTCATTACATGATTTGGGATTGTTGTTTTTTGGTAGAGGTAAAAATATCGATTGTAAGCCATTCCTCCGGGATGTTGCCCTCTACATATATGGTGTTGAGAATTCGAGATAGTCTCTTTATATTACCGTCATCTAAGGCTTTTAACAGTTCAACTGAAATTTGATCAGGACCCTGTGCTTTTCCTTGTTTTGCATTCTGTACTGCATGCTTTACTTCTGAGGGTAAAATTTGTAGGTATTGTTCTTCTTCACCTATATCTTGTTCATTTTCGCTCTCGTCATGGAACAGGTGGATTATATATCGTTCCCTTATGGGTATAAGATAGTTTTAAGAAATTAAGGTTTGAAGTTCTACATCTTTTCTAAATTCGACCGCTTGTTCTTTTTGATAATTGATTCCTGCTTGTTTTGATTTCTGTCCACTGGTATGTAATAGTACAGTTCTGTTCGTTAGAATTGAAAGGGCGGAAGTCACTTTCACTTGGTTTTGCAGCATATCAAAATTAGTGCTCTTATTTTTTTTTTTTAATTTTTACACCATAATATAAAATGCTTAAAATCATCAAATGCAATGATGTTGCAGCTTTTTGTTTTTAAAGAAAGCGGTAAAACATGCTTATTTTAATTTTTTTATTTTATTTTGTATTTTATTTTACAGTAACATAATTGGTGTTTATTTTGTTTTGTATTGAAATAATAAATATTTTAGGACTACAACCTACGACTTTGTTGTTTTGTGGTACTATATTAATAAAAACAGGACAACCGCCCTTTTGGTATGATTTTGTTAGAAAAAACCTTATAATCAGTTAACTTTGTTTTGTTAAAGATTTATAGAAGGAATGGTAAGTAGAAGGTACCCATTCTAGCAATTCCATTGAGTGGTTATATTTTGAACTATCAATTGGAATTGATTTTTTATTATTTATTTGGTCAAATATTTTTGTGGGAGACCATCGAAAGAACTTCTCATTTTCCTTTTAAAATTGAATCTTAAAATTTTGCTGGGAAAATGTTGTTTTATAAAACATAATGCCAGGATGGTCTCTTTCGACTTTCAAGTGCACAATTTTAGGGGATAGAAAGGGTTCACTGTCTGTGTTCCGTTTTCTATTAATAAACATTAAGCGGTTTTAAAGAACTGCAGGTCCTTGTAAACTGGGCCCATTCATGGGGTACATACTCATAGTAGCCAGTCCTTTCTTCTTCCTCTCAATCAGTGCATGTATTGTCTGCTTCGTTGTGTGTATACCCCTTGAGTAAATATTTATGGTGAATTCTAACTACTGAGGTGATATGAATATACAAAATAAAAAAAATCTGTTTTGGCCAGAGCAGTTGTCTGACCAAAATGTTTCCTCTTCTGTTGTAGAAGGTAAATTTTTTAACCTCATTATAACGGAATCTATCTCGTTGCCTCCTCTTTTTGCAATAGACTTGTCCCCCATGAAACATAAACCTTTGGCAGTACTATCATTATAGACGGTAATAATAAAACGGTTTTTCATTAGTTAACGTAGGTGCGGGGAGGCATTTTTGTAAATCGATCATTGCTACGACTTCTTTTAAATTCTGTTAGTATCTGATCTTATTCGTTCAAATGATCTGCCTCTTTTCGCTTATTTTTAAAACTGTCACAGGTATCCCATCGATGTTAAGGGTTTGAAATGAAGGTTGAATTCTTTACTGCAACTTCTTTTACATACTCCTTTCCATTAATCGACTCTAAATATAATTTGTACATTATTGTTACGTTTAGTTCTGGATCTAAATATTCTCTTCCAGACCTATTGCGACAATAATAGCTTTCAATTTTTGGAAAATATTTTGAAGATTTTCACAATACACAAAAAAAGTTCACTTACCTTCATTGTTTTCTTGTAAACACATTTTTATCATCTTCATTGCTCATGATTTAGACATTTCTGGTTGTTCTTTATTATCACATCAATCTCGATAAGGAAAAAAGTTACTTTTATCTATAAACCATGCAAAAACATTAGCTTATAATCTTAATTTTTACACACTTAACAGGCGGTTATCCATAGAGATTGGACTAACATCTTTTTAAGAATTAGTGTGCCATGCAAAAAATACAGATGTACCACATAGGGCTTTTTGCAACAAATATAGTGGTCATCAGACTTAGTGGCAATTTTAGTAATATTACCTGGAAAACCTCCTTTAAGCACCATTCGAAAGCCTATACCTTTAAGTGTATTATTGGTTGCATACCTCCATTAACTGTGGAAATTGATTTTACAATTCTAACAAACATAAATTTAAATAAACTTAGGATTTCATGCGATTTTTTATATTTAGGAAATGGAAAGGCACTGCCTTCTCTTCCTCGCGGATAAGCCACATTAAGATAACAGGAATATAGCGGAGATGCGCAGTCCTGAGTTTTTGCATTCGGTTAGGAAACCATGTTGGGGTTCTATTACCCAGGACCTCCACATGAAGAGCATTTGGCGGATTGTTGTGCCTCTATAGCGCATCAGAGTGCTATAGGGGGGAAATGGATGATCTAGAGCATTGGAGCACGGTGGGGTGACTCCTGTTTTTTTACTCGAGTTAACACACCTTGCTCCAATGAATTGTTACACCCGATCATACTACCTGGGTGAACATTTCTCATAGGCTGGGTTCAATCAAATTGCTTGCTTGCCCTTCTCTTCCAAACCAATAATTTAAATATACTTTTTAGCAGACGTAAACTCAGGTTTGCTACGCCTCAGTTGGCTGGTTTCAACCGTTGGACCAAGTTGTCCATTTTTCGAGTAGAGATAAGTACGTTCTCTTAAAGTGTTGTTGTAAAGTTGTATCCTACAGCATTAACCTCTTGTCGCCAAATTTTTAACATCTCATATATTTTTCATTTATCTAAGGGTTATTATACCTAGATATGTAACTATTTTCAACTACTCCCAAAATGTTTCACTGATGATGTTCCGACTGGAACGAAAACGTTTTGAAGATAATTTTAATCCGTTTAGATAATTTTTTATAAATTTTAATAAAAATATTCCATTATACCTACATAATATATGTATTAAATCAGTTTTTTCATGGAATAAGTAAGTGATTGTAATCATACCAATACAATTACACATGTGAATTTTTAAATTTGTTGACGAATTCTTTGTAACACTTTGTATTACTGATCATGTAAATTACATTTTACATTATTATTCTCCTTTCAATCAACATGGGAGGTCACTCTTTGGCCTTCCCCTTTAATTTAAAGAGCAACATTAATCCTTCCAGAAGAGTATTACTCTTGCAGATTGGGACTGATGCTGTTTTGTAAGTACAAAACAAAACGTTTCCGCTAATATATGGAATAGTAACATCTTGCTTTATGTCTTTTCTCTCTTAACTGATTGAGATCTTCAAGAGTTACAGTGTGAAAGGGATTCCACCCCCTTTCCATTGTTTTATCACTGCTTGTTGAGTTTGACAGTTATTGCTCCTTATGTATACGTATATCCTTCATCTAATTTACATACCGTTGCACGTCATTATCTACGTCAGAGATCGAAGTTGACATAGTTGCCAAAGTATAAAAAAATCCTGACTCCATTTTAAATCAAATAGATCACATAATTATTGCAAAAGTATTGCCATCTCTTTACAACCACTATTTAAATTGTTATCTGACATTTTTGAAATAAAACACACTAATTTTGTTCTAAAAAGAACAGATTTTAATAAATAAGTAAAAATATAAAACAAGAGGTATTCACTTTAAAATTCAAAATGATAAAGTACAAAAAGTGTCAACACCGCAACTGTCAAATAAGTGTTACCAATTTATGCCAAAATTTCACCTTCGTTCGATTACAGTTACAGTGTGTTCCGTACAAATGTTCTTCATAAAAACGCTTTATAATGCATTTATACAAATTAAATGAAAGATATTATTGTGTATTTCTTTAAGTTAACATTAATAGAAATCTTTAAATATTATTTCTACGGGTATACTCGTATAATAAAATATGTCCAGTGGCTGTAATGCCAGTGTACTCGGCAAAGTGATTCTAAAAAAGAACACATCTACCGCCTAAATATTTCGTGTTGGTACCATGTGACGTCACGGGCTATGACGCCGATGACGTGCATCGGTATGTAAATTAGATGAAGTGTACGTGTGCTTGTAATATAAAATCATTACAATCAATACCCTACTAATAAGCAGCTAACAGTTTCAACAATTTCGACCATACAATATTTCTGTATCATTGTGAAGATGACACTGCATATCCTTTTAACTAAAACTGCTCGATGTTAAAGTTAAGCTTAATTTTTATGCTGTTTGTTTTATGTGTTTAGGGTCGACATACAAAAACTGGACAGCTCGCCGCCATTAAAGTCATGGACGTCACGGAAGACGAAGAAGAAGAAATTAAGTTGGAAATTAACGTACTGAAGAAATATTCGAACCATCGAAACATCGCGACTTATTATGGAGCGTTTATTAAGAAATCACCACCTGGGAAGGATGATCAGTTGTGGCTGGTCATGGAATACTGTGGAGCTGGTAATATATTTATTTAATTTAACTCAAACTAATCGAAACACCTTCATTATATCGTACCCACAAGCTATGTTCAAAAGTTTACCCCAAATTTCCCACAAATTATAAAAAATTGTTTTTTTGCTTCGGAACCACTTTATTTGATAATTTGGATAAGTAATTCTTGTGATTTGGTAGTCAGTTATTCTTGTAATTGTATTTTGAAAGTTTAAGTCCCAAGATAAGTAGTTTCAAAATTCTCAATTATATTTTGATTTTATATAGCAAAACTTGCATTTCGGGATGTAGACCTGACCGTCACTCCAGGCAAAAGTTTTAACGTTCGAAACACCTTATTTATTTCTTACCCACAAAATAAATTTTATTTTAATCCAAAAAAAATCCAAATCCAATTTTTGCGAGTAATTATGGTATTTTTAAGACAAAAGTATTCCTGTGATTTTTTCATAAACTACTTTTCGCTTAGCCGTAAAATGAAATAAACTAACTAAATTATTGTTACCCAATTAAAACATAAGCTATCCTCTTCAGATATCCGGGTACCATCCGATTTGAAGATGAGGGCAACCAGATAGAACTCTAGATAAACTACTCTTAAAAAAGGGCGGTATCTTACGAGAGAGTTCAATTTCAAAGGAGTCTCAACTAGGACACTGACCTAATTCTCACTCTAAACAGGGCGAGAAAGAGAGCTAGACTCTTTCTTAGGAGCGCTATCTGGCAAATTCGGCAGCACTTAAAATAAGACTCTCCTACACATATTATATAAAACCTACATAAGAATGATAGTTGAGTACAAGGCAGTTCTTTACTCCTCACTTAATAACCGCCAAATAAATGCCATCATGGCAAATGAAGGAAAATAATGAGAAAATGGGCAGACTATCCGTCGGCATTAATCTACCAACTTTCTAATATTCCCACAATAGAGAGCAGAATCCGCTCTTTCGGCAAGAGATACATCCAACGTAACAATAGTGCAAAAGAGGTCCTCCAAACATCTTGCCTTCGCCTAGGGCATATACTTACCAGGGGCCCCCTCAAAAGAAAGTTCCTTTCCGCCCGGCCAAACTTCTCAACTTTGCTGGAAACGAACTTCCTGATGAGTAATTCAACACCTTAGAAGCGACGCCACTAAGATATCGCAGATACTAACAATCTGCAAGCCAAAATTCTCAATCAAAAGAGCCGTTCCCACACGTATAGCTGGTAATATGCGAAGGTACCCTTCAGACGGCATGGCTAACAACCTTCCTCACCCAACTCTGACTACTGCTTCTTAGCTACCCACTTGTCTCCTTAAGCAAACCCTTTACAAACACTACAAAAATTACATCCGTAAACTAATTTTCGAAACCAATTCAGATTTTTGCTTTATCTGTTCCTTCTAAGAATTGCAAGTCAAAACAGACGTTGATAAAGATGTTATTAGAGACATGGGATATCTTAAAATTGCATCCCACAACATATCTGCTCAACGCTATTCGTAAAGAGTATACCGAAATAAAATGTTTATTTCAGATTTTTAATAATATCCGTACTAGTATCTACTAATGACACTTTCTCAAACCGTGAACATAACCGAACATATTTTGAGTTTGCAAGACATAATATTTCCCTGTTAGAGTTTTTGCGAATGAGATTTTATTTTCAAATGGTATAACCCGCTTTCAATGTATAAATAAGTTTATTTTAAACGACACCAAATTAGAAAACTTTTCCAATAAACACGCAAATCCGTGAAAAACTTTTTTAAAACTCCAGCTAAAGGCACGTAACATTAATAAATAATTTCACGTTCTCCCCGAAGGCTTTATAACTAAAAGCATAAAGGTAATAAAAATTATTTTTAGGGTCGGTAACGGATCTGGTGAAGTCTACCAAAGGGCAGTCCTTAAAAGAGGAGTGGATAGCGTACATTTGTCGGGAAATACTCAGGGGATTGTCCTATTTACATACGAATAAGGTCATACACAGAGATATTAAAGGGCAGAATGTTTTACTAACTGACAACGCCGAAGTTAAATTAGGTAAGTGATCTCTTGTTTGTTTCTAAACATTAACCGGGGAATATTTTCGGAATTGTTTGTTGGTTCCAGGCTACAAATGAGTTTACGTAGTGAAATGTAAATCTTGAAAATTTTTTGTTCGTACTAGACATAAGTATGCGAGCCAAACGGTATACGTACCGTACGCGTACAGATCCTTGAAAATATATCTACATCGTACTGGTCGCATACTTATCGCGATCCATGGAAAGCCATAAAACCAACAACGAACACACATGTGCGAAATGATTCATTTTGTTTATAAGTTGGCTACTGATTTATCGTGTTTCTGTTGTTCAACAAAAATAAAAATACGTACAATAATCATTTTACTGTTTTCTCACGTCTCTCTAGGAAAGAACACGTCATTCACACAATTAGACCAAGAAATAGAGGTATAAAATGATCAGAAATTCGTAAAAATTACTGGACGCGATTTTCCAGGTGGAAAGTGTTGGGGAAGCCTATGCAAACAGCGTCTCATCTCGTGAGTAACGTTTTTTTGGTTGGAAAATTGTTTATTTTAAACTTTTTTGCAAAAAAGTGGTATCTTTTCGTTCGATTCAATATTGCGAAAAACCCACGAGGGTTGGAGAAAAATGGTCCACAGATGATTGTAAAGAAACATTGTTTTTTACAATCGTTATAACTTTTCAATAATGTATAAAATTCATTCAAAACTTTATCAAATTATGGGTTTCAAGTACTTAAACTGTGTGCAAAAGATGGCGCAATCGGTCGAGTAGTTTTTGCAAAATCCTAATTGTTTATCCCGTTTTAAAAAAAAAGGGTCATTTTTGAATGGACGTACAGCTGGCTGGGTGGCGACTAGGATGCCCATTTTGGGCTCATTTTCTTCGTTTGGTCGTCAACTATCATATACTTAAAATTAAAAAAATGTATATTGTAATTAACTTATTAAAAATTGTTAATAAACGAAGTACACTTTTTCGCCTTATCCAGAAAATCTGCCAGTTTCTCTCGACGAGCTACCCCAGTTTAAAAAAAAGAAGGTTCTAGCCCTTCTGGAGCCCGAAATATTGCAATTTTTTCAAGCGCGTCCAATTTGAAGTTCTATTTCCGATTTGAAAATGAGTAAAAGTCGATGATGACTCATCGAACAGAATTTATAGTTTTTTTTCGAGCACTTCTTTTGAAGCGCTCTTAAACCTTTTGGTTTGTTCAAATAAAAACGAAATAAATTGTACATTAAAGATTGGGTCTTTATTTAAATATTGGCCAAATTTCAGCCCTTAATGTTTATAAACAATTGGTCTGCGATTTTTTGAAAAAAAAAAATTATTTCCGGTTCTATTGGTCGTAGGAAGTTCTTTTTTTTAAATGTGTGTTTTTTGACCAGCTTTCGAATGGTATGCTTGGCTATTTTGTATATTCAAAAACAACCGAGATATTCTAAATGTTTATAAGGCGAAAAAGTGTACTTCGTTTATTAACAATTTTCAATAAGTAAATTACAATATATTTTTTTTAATTTTAAGTATATGATAGTTGACGACCAAACGAAGAAAATGAGCCCAAAATGGGCATCCTAGTCGCCACCCAGCCAGCTGTACGTCCATTCAAAAATGACCCTTTTTTTAAAAAACGGGATAAACAATTAGGATTTTGCAAAAACTACTCGACCGATTGCGCCCATCTTTTGCACACAGTTTAAGTACTTGAAAACCCATAATTTGATAAAGTTTTGAATGAATTTATACATTATTGAAAAAGTTATAAACAATTGTAAAAAACAATGTTTTTTGGACTAATTTTGCAATAACTTTTTTATTTATTTATGGATTTCAATTTAGCAAGTCTTAAAATCTTCGTCAGTTCTCGAGGAAAAAATCATCTGTGGACCATTTTTCTCCAACCCTCGTGGGTTTTTCGCAATATTGAATCGAACGAAAAGATACCACTTTTTTGCAAAAAAGTTTAAAATAAACAATTTTCCAACCAAAAAAACGTTACTCACGAGATGAGACGCTGTTTGCATAGGCTTCCCCAACACTTTCCACCTGGAAAATCGCGTCCAGTAATTTTTAGATTTCAAAAACTTTATTTTCTCGGTCTAAATGTCGATTTGATGACTTATATGATGACCATATGATACAATAAAAATGTTCGCTGCCTCTAGTAGCGGCGTAGCGCCGTCCAAACTGAAAGACGAGCTTCTTTTTAAGTCGTGGAATAAACCGCAACAATTTGGTTCGCGACGAGTCACGATCAAACAGTAAGCTCGGTACACATATACGAGCCAAACGGTATGCATACGGTATGCCAACGGTATAGTATATTCGTTAATGTGTACGGCAGAAAAAACCGCTTGCGTACTGTATGCGTACTATTACAAAAAGTGAACCGAGCGGCCTAAATTACTTATACCTCACAGTCAGAAGAACGCGGAGTATGGAACTATTGGTAGTGGAAGTAAAGATACCACCAGGGAACACTAAGATGAAGATCTCCAACAAGATGGGCAGACCAAATTAAGACTCTGGTTGGAAAATCCTTACATTAAGTTGTCCTTCTGGCATAAGATCACAGCTAATGGAGACATCAAGATAACAACAATATTATAGTATCACTACGCCCTGACACGGGCTCAAGGAATAAGGAGATGGAAATCTAGTTGAACAATATCTACAACCAATAATTGTGGCTTAATCCTACATAAACATAATATTTAAAGCAGATACAAATGTTTTAACATCCCTACATTTGGTCAGTTTCGTTCTCCGCTCTCCTGAACTCAAATACCTCGTTTCTTCTCCCATGTATAAATATTTTATTTTTTTACGTTTATTTTCAGTTCTGGTTTTTGGTTCTCTCCTAATTTTTGTAATTTGTCCAGTCGTCTTTATCTTTTGCTACATATTGTTGTGTTATTTAGTTGTTCCACTCCTTCACTTTTTTTTTTCTTCCAGTTTATTAGTTCATATTCTACATATTTATGATTATATTTTCTTCATTATAGAATATATATTTAATTGAGATAATATACAAAAAATATTTTTGTGATTAGCGAAATAAATATTGTTTTTTAAGACTTGAGATTGTTTTGGCAGTAATGCAAAATTATTATTAAAGTAATAATAAATAATTAACATACGTCAATCATAGTTATCATATAAAATGTATATTTTTCTGAAATCTTTAGATATTTTTCTGTTAAAATGTTGGTAGTCCTCTCATGCCATGATCAGACACATGGGCGTTTTTGTCTTAATCTAAATATGTTTATGCCATCATTTTTATAGCAAACGCTTATTTATTAATCTATTAAACTATAAAAATCCACCACAGCTAGTTCGATACTGAAGTCTTTTAATAGGCACCGTTGACAAAAGTGTGAATCAAAACTGATTAAAACAACCTGAACCGGAAGTGGTTGAGGTTATGTAATTAAATGACGAAGTTTTGCACGACAAATTGTATATTAGGTGTCAAAGTTTTTATCTGGCTATATTAGTCAGATAATGGATATAAAATTTATGATAATAGGTAAAGAAAATGCCTTTGAAGGCATTTTTGAACTTTAATTATAATTTAATTTGAATTATTAAAGATGTGATCCATAGAGTTCCTCTCCAACAATCGACAAGATACCGATACTCTTTTTTGGTAAAAATTCGAGTTCTAGATAGAAATTCGCAGAAATGGTGATAATTACCTATACCCACATTTTCAATAATTTTAGTTTCCAATGGAATGGTGTGTTCTCGAGTTAAACGACGTGACAGTTCTGAAATTTAGCTCCTCATTAGTGACTGTCGTTTTACTTACGGAATGCGTACAATATTATGAAATATTGTGCGAAGGATCTCAGAATTCAAATATTCACCATACAGTCGGAACTGTTTGTATGAACACTTTCCATCATTAGACTGATTTATTATATAATTGTGGGATTTAGCTCTTCCTTTTACTTCTGTTTAAAATAATTGTATCATTCTTTGGAAACGAAATAAACAATAGGTGAATATTATACGAGGATTGCTTGGAAATTTTTCATAGTAGATCATGTATTACCATAGAAAAATAACAATCTCTATGTTCGTTGTTTACTATTATTAGTAATAATTATTCATCATCATCAATTAGCCTATATTTGTCCACTGCTGAGCGTAGGCCTCCCGTAAAATTTTCCACCTATTTCTGTCTTGAGCTTCTTCCATCCAGTTTGTGGTGATGCGCTTGATAACATCTGTCCATCTAGTCGGTGGTCGTCCTCTGCTTCGATATGGATCTTGCCTTGGTCGCCATTCCAGAATCTTTTTGGTCCATCTGTCATCCGTTAATCTGGCAACATGTCCGGCCCAAGCCTATTTAGTCCTGGCTATTTTTTCAACTGCAATAATAATAATTATTACTATTATAAGGATATTTATAGTACCTGATATTAATTAATTGAATCAAATAGACTATGTACTAATACCTAAAAGAAGGGCCAGCTCAGTAAAAGACGTTAGTCTCTCTCTTCCCTCTCTCTCTCTCTCTCCCTCCCTATTTCCCTCCCTTCCTATCTCTTACCCTCTTTCTCCAATTGCGCTACAGCCCAAATCAATCTCTGGCCGTTTCCGAACATTGCCGTTCCCAAGCCGTATTTCTTTTTTCCCTAAGTAGGATAAAAAATGGTTGGGTTGTCTTGCCAAGCCATTTGTAATACTACCTTGAAAGAGGAGCATACAGAATATCAAATGTAATGTTAACGAAACGTTAACAAACAGCCTCAAATATATGGGAAATAAAGCAGCTGGGTGTTGCAAGACGAGTCCAAGCTAACAAAATTAATCTGCGCTCGTGCAAAATTAATGGTCGCGAGCTTTTTTGGAAAAAGGGATATGTTGCCACGATTTTGTTAGATAATGGTAGAACTCAATGTGATGAATGGTAATGAACTCAAAATGACATATTTGGGATATGTGATAATGGACCAACTAAATGACTAAAACCAATGACTAAAAGTACTTTTATGA